AAATAAATTATAGCAGAGGAAGTTCTCTGCACATAAAAAAATACTGTTTTTGTAATCAAACTGACAAGTTTCTCCAGTTTTTTTATGTTTAGCAGTTAGCATTAGCCTCCAATATTTTTTTTTTATCGTTTTAGCAGTTAGCATTAGATTCTCGTGTAGAGGATTAGTGGTTAGTGAAGCTAACTTTTCAGTTAGCTGTGCCCACCACTGGTGTTTTGCTTTTTTTTAGCTTGAGTTTCAGCTACTTCAGCAGTCATTCAGTGTTCTCTGGTTCTCTGAATCGGTTCCTTCAGTTCACTTTGTCTTGTTTCAGGTGAAGGAACTTCTGGCCGGTGACGACTTCAAACCCAACTCTGCCATGGTGGTCTTAGACTTCCTCATCAGACACTCCATCATCGAGCCAGATACTGGTCTGTGCTTTCTGGCACGTTTTCAGCTGATGGAGTCCTGAACATTTCGGCTGATGTTTGTTTTTTGGTTGTTGTTTTTTTTCAGAGCCGTTCTATCAGGACTTCCTGGCAGGACTCCATCAAACTTTATAGTCAACAGAAACTTTGTGGTTCACGCTGATCCCTGATGGGGGACGGACCGAGTCCTGGAGGATCACAWGATGAAGACGAGCCGGGTGTCGGGTTCAGGAGGAAGAATCTTTTGCTCTAAAACAGGACAGAGACTCTAAAGCTACGTTTATGACCTGCAGGCGATCACCTGCCTGTATCTGTGCTCATGTTTGTCTGTTAGCAAAATATCTCACAGACTACTGGACGGATTAATGAAGCGTTCATAAAGTCATCGCTGGATGTTCGGCTACAACTGACCAAAGTTTGGAGTCAACCTGATTCAAGATGGCCGCCACAGCTAACTGATACAGTATTAGCCAACATAAAAATGGCTACAGCTCAGTCATACTTTCAGACGCTAAGCTAAAATTTAGCAGGTAGTAGCCGAAGGTCATCTCCAACACATTTGTGAGCGATCTCAGAAAACAGAAAGATGATTTTAGTCTAAAACTCTGGAACAAAAGGCGGCGGGTGATATGCTAAAATTGTTTGTGTTAAACTTCAGCTGAAAGAAATTAATTAAAAAAAATTAAAAACAAGATTTTTTTTTAATTCTGATGAATTTATTTTTTCAGAATACAATAAAACTGCAGAAATCTGAAGAAAAGTTTGTATATAAAAGATTATTTCTCTTATAAATCCCTCAGGAAGCTGCTCGCACGACGACACTGACCTAAAGTTTAAACTTTGTGCAAATAAAACAAAGAGAAGCCAGTAGAATATCACATCCAGTAACAGAAACAAGAAGAGGCGTTAACATGCAGACGGGGGAGGGAGGTTAAAATTAAACAAATTTACTGTAAATGATTAAAACATAAAAGCTGATTTTAAATATGAGCAGAGCCACAAACAGCAGGTTTCTAATTCAGAAAGAACAAAATGATTCACTAAAAACAAATCCTCTCCTTTAATTTTGCTTTTTTTAATTTAAATTCTTTAAMGCTCCTGAAGCGTTTAAGCAGAAATTTATATAGGAAAGAAAAAAAATGATAAAAAAAAAAGGTTTTGTACATTTTACTCAAACAGGAGCAGATCAGGAAACATTTATATATTTTAACTCGTTTAATCTCTCGTTAATATTTACTTGTAAATAGTTCACGTAAAATAAAACTAATTACTGTTTCCCTTTATGTATAAATACACAAATCTCTCCAGTAACTGCAGAACATCTGCGTTTGATCCTGAAAACTTTTCATTCTAATTTAATCCTGTTTCTGTGAGATTACAGGAGCGTGTGAGGCGTTCAGGGGTTAGTGGGAAATTCTAGTTGCAGAAATTATTTGATCAGTTTAATTCGTAAATAAAAACGTTAAATATTCAGCCCTTCTTGCTTCAGATTTTCCTTTCGGTGATCCAGACGTTCCTCAGATCTTTAAACTTTTCTGGATTATCTTGTTTTTCACCCGGTTTCAGTTCAGATTACAGAAAGTTTGGCTCCTCTAAGGTAAATTAAAAGAAATAAGGGCTGGATTAAGACTTTAGCACTCTGAAGTTGTTAACTTTTGAAACTATTATAACTGATCTCCAGACAGAAATTAAACAAACTGATGTTATTGATTTATAAAAAGAAGAAAAATAGGTCCTCATAAAGCAGAATTAAAGGGACAGTTCAGATTATTTGAAGTGGGGTTCTGTGGGAAGTTTTCTGACCGGATCATCATCATTTTGTTGGAACGATCCTTTAATTTGAGGTCGGTGATGCTGCAATCTTTTTGTCGGTTTAATTTTAAATTGTGGGGGCGGGGTTTACTGCAGACCGCGGCCCTCCAGGTCAGAATAATCTGGGCGGCACGCAGTCGTACGCTGACAGAACAGATGTTAGAAACACAGGAATGTTTAAACTCCAAGAGTTATCTACAGCAGGTAAGATGTTTACTGTTCAGAACTGAACCCGTGTTGAACTAACTGAACTATCTCCTTTAAAGAAAAAAAACGTGTTTTCAGRATGTTTACAGCTGAGTTTTCCTGCTGATGCTCTCTGATGTGAAGCGTAAAGATTTATCAACGAGACCACCCCCCTCCCCCCCACACTATTTTAAAATATTTCAACGTCTAAATATATTTTCTCCCTTTCCTGTTGGTTATTTTATCTGATGGCCTGCTCTGAATTAGTTCCGCTCTTCCCCGTCATGCTGAAGAAAACCTGCCGGCTGCGGTGATGAACCAGGAGGAATGTTTTGAGTCTGGCTCCAGACCCTCTATAGCAGGCTGCAGCCGCCCTTCTTGCCTCGCTTCTTGGCCTGCAGCGCCGCCCTGGTGGCCATCTCGAACACCTCCCGCACGCCGTCCTTCGTCTTGGCCGAGCACTCCAGGTAACCGAAGGCRTTGATCCGGTTGGCCATGTCCCTCGCCTCCTCGGACTTCACTGGTTCCTGTTGGGACGGAGGGCGTGAGGAAACGCTACATTACCTTATAAGTATTAGCTCAGCGCTACACATTCTCTCATCACTGAGGTCCTCCATCCACATGACAGAGAGGGGATCACAAAAATGACTCAGCCTGCAACTGAAAATATGGATGGAGGACAACAGGTTAGCTTGTTTGTCGCGCTAGCGCCGAGCTAATGCATATATGGTAATATAGCATCGGGGCTAACGCTAAAGCTAACCGGCTAAGCTGAGGTTCTTCTTCCATGAAGCAGCTCTGTTGTCCTCCATCCATATTTTCAGTTCCAGGCTGAGTCATTTCTACCTTCTCCTCTCTGTCAACGCTCTCTGGTTTCATTTAAAAGAGTCGATCTTCAGATATTGTCCAAGATTAACCTTCAGGGTGGATATAGCTCGCTAGCAGCCTCGCACCGAGGACCTATCCACATCATCAAACTCAAGTCACTAGATTACATCATCACCTAATATGTTTGACATTAATTGTGATCTGATCTACAGGAGAGATGTTAAGGAGTGATAAAAAACACTAAATATGTTTAAAACTGCATTAATGAAATAGAAATAATTTTAATAATAATCCACATTGCATATATTAAATTAGTGATAATCTTAAATTTAATCTGCAGACTGTTAGATTTCATGAGGCACAGGGAGGACGAGGTGAAGCAGGTCTGTGAGTCAAACACAGCTGAGTCCACAGATTTATTTTACCAAGACATCAGAGAAAAACGTTACAGTAAATATTATATCGTGAGATTATCGTAAATGCGATTAATGGTTCAGCCCTAGTTAGAACATGGTTTTTCACACATTTCTACTTGTCGGAGTGAACAGTTGCAGTCAGATGGTTTCATACAGCAGTTTTCCTCTGCAGTAAGAGAGGAAAACGTCTCCACGGTCTCTGTTATCTTTAAATTCTGCAGAGTCAGCTGTAACGTTACTGATTCATTGGTTTCTGTTGTTTTGCTCCAGATGACTTGTTGTCAGAAGCTAACGTTAGCATGAACATCAACCAGATGTAAACATACGGCAAGCCAGGAGTGACAAAATATAGAAAAACACCTCAGCTTCATCACACACAAGACACCATGGAGGAAAATCTATCGTGACCTATGGATCCATTTTACTAAATTTAAATGTAATCGATCCAAGATTTTCCCCAGCCCTGGTTATGATGAAAAAACCAGATTGGAGGATTTCTCATCATTTGAAAAATATGAAATGAAAGGCAGCTTGACACTTTTTTGCCGTTTTCCTGCTCGTTTGGTTATTTGTCGTCGTGTGAGCCACAACGAGYGCTTTATTGTCGTATTTAGATGAGGTAAGCGAGTGGTCCCACGCCTCCCACCCTCCCTGCTGGAATCTGGAGCACGGCACGTGAGCGAGTCCGAACTCGTGCAGGAAGCTTCCCTCACCTGTTTCATCTTGGCCAGCTCTCTGCGGGTGTGCTCRTCATTTCGCAGGTCTTTCTTGTTCCCCACCAGGATGATGGGCACGTTGGGGCAGAAGTGCTTCACCTCCGGAGTCCATTTCTCAGGAATATTCTCTGTGGAACACGAGGACACAAGTGAGCGCGGAGCACAGTCGGTGTTTCTTTGGGAAAAAGAAGGCAGGCGAGGTCAAACCTAAGCTGTCGGGGCTGTCGATGGAGAAACACATGAGGATGACGTCTGTGTCTGGGTAGGAGAGGGGCCTGAGGCGGTCGTAGTCCTCCTGACCCGCCGTGTCCCACAGAGCCAGCTCCACCTGACAGGAAACAACAAGCACGAGCCTTAGATCTGTTATTTTACAGCCTGCTCTGTAGGGCTGAATACTAAGACCTGAGGATCTCAGATCTTCTGTTTGTTGTCCTCATTCTTTATTTACTACAAAACAAAATGTCTGAAGGCTTCATGTGAACACAGTGACTCAAAGAAATGGAGAAACAGATTTTTATCACAGTCTGAACCTGACAAATCTGACCCAGGTCTTTGTCACATGTGGTCCTAAATCAGCTCCATATCAGGTGTTTTTCTAAGTGATCTCAGGTCACAATGCTAACAATGCTACCAACTTTAAAACCACGCTTCTTGACAATAAATCTTATAGATGCATCTGATTGACAGTAGGGCTGCCACAAACGATTATTTTTATAATCGATTAATCACTGATTATTTATTCAATTAGTCGACTAATCAGATCATACGTTAATTGAATATAAAACATACAGCTTATCACACCAGAATGCAGCTGCTATTATATAACCATGGTTAGAKTTTAGCTATATGCTAACTAAAAATAATAGCTGTGGAAGGTAAGTTCTGCTCTGCAGATATTACACAGGTTTCTCTTTCATTTTCTTMAAATGATCCCACACTTTGAGCTCTGTTGTCAGGTAGCCATGATACCAGAGCCTGTCTGTATAATGTCTTGTGACGTCCACGGCCTACCCCAGTTACCACTACTGTGCATGTGTGTCAASGACAGAAAGGCAGAYGTGGCAGTGGAAGGTGTCAAAGCAGTTTGGAGAGAAAAACAAGGTGAACAAAAAAAGAAAAGGATTAATCGATTATTAAATTAGTCATCRATTATTTTAATAATCGATTAGTCGTCGATTAATCGTGGCAGCCCTAATTGACAGCAGCAAAATAAGCAGTTTGAGAGAAGTTTATGCTAAATTTTCATGTGAGCAACAAACRTACTCCGCTCTCCACTACAGTTTAAAGCAAGTTAAATTTAAGACTTTTTAATGCCAAGTGAAATTAAATTTAAGACCAATTTCATAATAAACACAAATGACAAAAAATAAAAACTGGCAGAAACTCATGAATCAAAGTATTTTTGGTATTCAAATATTGCTAATAGACCAATTGTTTTTATCCATATATAATTATAGCAGAAACCTTCTTAGCAGTCAGTTTTAAACTTTATTTGATTTCAGGAAATCCTCCAACAACCCAAAATTTGGAGATTTAGGGTGTATTCAGACCAGGAAAGTCTTTTGGTCCAATTGTTGGGTCCGGACCAAAAATGGGACGTTTTTTTTTTACGTTTGGTGCGGTTTGCATTCACATTGTGCTTTTTTGCAAACGAACTATAACTTGTAAACAAAGCCACGAGGCTGACGATCATTGCTCCTATTGGACAAAAAAAGGACGGGGGCGGGACTGAGCCACAGACAGAAGAAAACAAGGAAGTCCTGCATGCTGCGGTTCTGATGCGCACATTTATGCTGATAGTACAACTGCAATAGCATTTAAAATGTCAGAACAGCTAATTTAATGGTGGTTCTGTGATGATATTCTAATTTTGGAGCGGCGTCAGTAAATGTGTCCCACAACCCAAAGGAGACGAGGTGCTCTGCGTGTTCTGACCCACAACATGCTGCAGCAGAGCTGCTAACAGGAGACGATGAAACAGGTATGTTTTCAGTTTATTTAGCTCAGCAACGATGGCCTGTGAAGTCCAAAAAGATGCATGTTTAATGCAGTTGGTTCGGTTAGAGTCCGGTCTGTATTCACACCAGAAGAGAACTGAAGTGAACCGCACCAGAGTTCGTTTGGAACCGGACCGAGACCACCTCAAAAAGCAGGTCTCGGTCCGGTTGTTTGATCCGCACCAGAGTTCACATGAGTGTATTCACACCTGCACAAAAGGTCCGGACCAACGCTGGAAACAAACTCTGGTTCGTTTAAAGCGGAGCAAATTATCAGGTCTGAATACGACCTTAGGACCCACAGTGGGGTCTCAACTAGGGATGCAAACAATTAATCAACTTACGGATTATGTTTCTAGTTTGTTTTTGAGTTAATATTTATCTTAAAATATTACCCTGTGTTTAAATTATAGTGTTTTATCTTCAGGATGGATTAAGTGTTTGACTTATTTAATTCTTTCATTGTTTTTCCAACTAGTCATTTAACAAATTCCTGTTTTGTTATATTTTATAAATATGTCAAAGTTTGATAATGTGAGAGAAATTCACAATTTTCTCTTCAGTCAGTCAGTGTTTACTCACACAGCTGGCACAATGAATGGTTAAAATAACACTGTACTTTTTTTATTCATCATGTAGAAAATTAGCCCTTCATGTTATAGAAAGACTCTTGATTAAAGAGAAATGTCAGGTTTTTAGGAAAAAGGCCATTTATCAATTAATTGTTTTTCGATCGATAAGATCAATCAACTTTAGATTAATACATAAATCAATAACTTGCATCCCTAGTCTTAACCCCAATTTGCTGTAGATGAAACCTTAAAGTGACACCAATGTTTTGAAAGTGAATGCATTTTTGGAAAGACAACATTAACATGTTACAAAACAAATTTCATGTTGCTCAGATGAACAGTTGTTGAGATATTTACATGTGAAATAACAGGAAGTGATGTCAAAGGAGAATGTCAGCATGTGAGTATTTAAAAATATAATTTTTACCAATTATTTTAATAATTGAGATGAATTACAATCATCCTGTTTACAATGTCTTCACATTTTTAAGACTTCTGAAAGATTGATTTAAGACATTTAAAGCTAATTAAGACCTTATTTTTGGATTGATGACTTCTAAGACTTTTTAAGGATCTGCAGGATCCCTGGCTCTACTGCTCATCCCACAAATGCGTGATCCTTACAAATGTGGCACCAATTAAAAGAGAAATTAACAGACTTCACAACTGTCTGAGATTTATTGTCAAGAATTGTTACAACAAATAAATAATCTATCAAATACTCATTTAGTGCTAATTTTATTGTATTTTTTTTTCTTCGGGTTTGACACTTCTCTTATTTTAGAAACAGAAAAGGCTGAAAACGAGACATCCTCTCACCTGTTTACCGTCTACCTCGATGTCTGCCACGTAGTTTTCAAAGACGGTGGGGACGTAGACCTCAGGGAACTGGTCTTTGCTGAAGACGATGAGGAGACAGGTCTTTCCACAGGCTCCATCGCCCACGATCACCAGCTTCTTTCTGATCGCAGCCATCTGGAGGACAACACAGATGTTTACCTTTAAACAACAAACAATCCTCCCCGCACCACAACTTTAAACAGAGTTCAGGGATGACGTGAAAGTAGAGACACAAAATAACCACGCAGGAAGTAAATTAGCTTCTCATGTTTTTAGGATTTTAAGACGAGTTTCTTTGAGCTGTGAGTGAATCGATGATACGCTCCGCAGATTTCATCACAAGTTTCCAGCTTTGGTGTTTGGCAACAGTGATTTTGCAGCTTCCTGTCTTCTCTTCCGTCTTCCTGTTTCTTCTCTAAACGAACCTCCAGATTAAAGCTGACCGACCAAAACATGCTGATGTTGTGCAAAACGTTGAACCATGAGATCACAAGTTTTCTGTTCAATCGTACACGAAAACACAAAAATCATGTAGACGTCAGAGTCCAAACGTCTGAGTTTTACTTTGTTAAAAAAAAGACACATATAAACTGAAAGCTTTTTAATAAAGATATAGTTTTGTGTAAATGTCTTACTTTATATTTTGCTTCCAAAAGCCAAATTTCTGTCAAGTTTAAACTTATTTCTAAATTTGTTCTTATAGCTTTACATCATCCTTCCCAGTTTAAATACGAAGAATTGCTTTTATTCATCCAGACATATTATTATTATAAAGATATGAAAATAAAGTCTTAGAAAATGTTTAAAATAGAGACAATTCRGGATTAAATTGTTGAAATGTTAGAAAACCTTGACAAATCTGGAGATCACAAGAAACTCTACAACTTGGCAGCAAAATATAAAAAAAATTATAATGACAGAAAACATAAAAATATAAAGAAATATAATAACGGAAAACAAAAATATAAAAGAATTTAAAGAAATGAGGGAATGATGAAAAATATTTCACCTACTAAGTTTTTAAACATCCAGAATTAGTATAAATAAAAATAAATATGAAATTTGTTTCTTACCATACATCACAAAAATAACTCATGTTCCTCTGAATCTCATAGGAATACTTAAAATAAAAATATATTTCTATAAAGCTACAAGCTTCAATGAAAAATGTTTATTTTAGATAAATTCTCCAAATGTTTAACTTCAACAGTAATGACAGTCCTCTTGTAAACTTTTATATAAACTAATAAACGTTTTACTGGAAAAAATAGGTCGGTGTAATTAGTTTAAAGGAGATTATTACGTCAATAAAATCGAAACTTTACGTTTAAACTTTACGGTTTTCTTGCCTGTCGGAAAATGAAGTAAAGTTACGTTTTCTTCAGCTGCGTTTCTCTTTTTTTTTAGCTCATGTGTGAAGGATAGTAACAACTATCAGCTAAACATTTAAGAATTTACAAAACACTCGCATGTGACTTTTGTTTTACGTATATTACAGTTTAACAGATTTTACGGAAGTGATGGCTAACTTAGCCTAGCTCATCACAGGCAGTTAGCATTAGCGTGCTAACTTTGCTTAGTTTTCTAGGAACAACTGGCACTTTTATCAAGCCGAAACAAACCACCTCAAACTCGCCCGGATCTCACATCATTACCGCCACACAAAACAAGCTCAACAACAGACAGAGACGTGTTGTAATTTGAGGAGAAAACGATCTTTAAGAAACAGACACTCGCCTTTTCTTTTAGTTTTCCTGTCGGAGCCTAGAGTCCCGCCCCGGAGAGTGCGTGACGTAAACGCCCGCCTCCGGTTAACGCTTTCAGCCAATGAGACGCAGGGAGATTTTGAGTGACAGAAAACTGGCCAATCAACAAAAAGAATGAGYTATTACCAAGTTTATCTGACCCAAAACAATATTTATTTATTTTATTAATTCGTTTATTAATTTATTTATACATTGCAACAATCTCAAACTTATGGAAGCCCATTTCCGCCACCCTGATAAAAAAAATAAAACT